TTATAGAAGTATTTTAAATAAAGAACATTCACATATATTTTACATTTGAAATAATTAATTTTACACTATGTACTATAAAATATTTTATACTCTGTATTATAAAACATTTGAAATAATTTTATACTCTTTATTATAAAATATGATTTGTGAAAAATGACAGAGGGATAAGTTACTAACAAGTAACAACATAGTCGTTATTCTTTGGGCGGCTGCCATTTGAATAAATAGTTACTCAGTAAAGAAAATCTATTACTCCCTCCATCTCCCTAACTTTGTCTCGTTTTACCTTTTTCGTTCGTCCCATTAAGTTTGTTTCATACCATATTTGGTAATATTTAGGTGATTACAATTCATTCTTACTTTATTCACACTATTAATTCAATATCAACCACACAATTCCACTTTTTCCTAAAAGTTGTGTCACACCCTCTTGCCCAAACATAGTGGGACGGAGGTAGTATGTCATATTTCGAACTTCATCTATATACTTTGTATTTATTACCTTCCTTCCAAATTGATTTGCAAAATTGAATTTTCTTGGTCAAACGATTTCGTTTTATTCATTTAATTCGGAAGTCAATTTTCATTCAATTATACTCTAATTTGGATTTTGCAACTTTAAAGAGATTTTTGTAAAATTTCTGAATATGTAAATTTTAATTATTTGAAATTAAACTAACTATTAATATGCATGATTTATTTTTAAGATTAGTTGACAAAAAATGTTGACTTTGCAAATCAATTTAGTAGTAGTAATCCTGAGTTTAAAAAAAGTGAGTTCAGTGTATCTCACATAAAATGAGGGTACCCTACTAATAATAAATTTAATCGAACCAAATCATATTATCATCATTTATTAATATTTAATTAAATTATTTAATTCCAATATTGTAATTACACCATAATTTTACTACTAATATTTAGGCCAAGTTGCTGTGGTAGAACTAAAACTTAGACAAAGTGTACAAATATGAACAATTAAGTCATATTTTGAGAATAAAACACGTGTAGTTTCATATGTACATCTTGTCTGTATTTTGGTCCTATTGGTAGAATTCCTATATTTTCTTTGATGAGTTAATTATGCATGTATGACTAAAATCCGGTCAGTTTGCATAAATAGGACCATAAAATAAACTATGTTTCATAGTACTAATTATGTGTGTTTTGGACAAATATACTCTTGTGGCTATTGAAATGTTTTAATTTATAATAAAATAATAAAAATAATAAAAATTAGTAAAAAATACTAAAAAAATTAATAAAAATATCTAAATAATAATAATTTAATTTATTTTAAAATGTAAACAAATTTTTTTAAAAAAAAATGAAAAACAAAAATAACTCACCGCCGCCTTTGCCGCCCCAGCACCACCACCTCCGGTCACCGGGGAAAAAATGCCACATGCATTAAGAATATCATATTTATGGCAAATTCAATGAAAAATTTGGCATTCTCAAATGAAGAGTAATATACCATTTGTTTGGCATTTTTTTACACCGATTCAGATGTGGTGGTGTAGGGAGGCAGTACAGATGGTGGGAAAGGAATCTAATAAAAAATAAAAAAAAATTATTTTTGAAATAAGAAACACAAATAAATCACGCCGCCTCTGTCACCCCAGCACCACCTTACCTCTGGTCACAAGGGAATGTTGGGCGTTTTGAAAGCCCATCACCACCACCCCATAATTATTTTGAAATCTTCTCCTCCCAAGATATAACTTTCCACCCTTTTTTTATTATAATATTTAGGATTTTTTTATTTGGATTAATTTCAATCTCATACCAAATCATACTAAATCAAAGTATAAAAACATGCTAGACTTTGATCGTTGTAAAATACTTATAGAACAAATACATACCAGAGTAGACTTGTTCAGATCAAATCAGAACATACTAGACTTAAACAGATCAGACCTGAGAAAAAAATAGACCAATTAAAAGCACCCTTACACGAGATTTACATGTGAAAACACAATTTAATTCAACAGATTAACACAATTTTACCCAAACACAATTTCACTAGGCTCTTCTATAATTTTTCACTCAAACACAAATTATGATATTAACATAATTTTATTAGACTCATACAAAATTAATAATCGATTGTAATCATTAATCTTCTTATTTACTACTAATTTATTTGTTTTCTTATTTCCTACTAATTTAATAATTAGTTTTAATTTCGAGCTCACTTGGAATTAATAAATACTCTTTAGTATTAATGTACACCAAGTTAATAATTATTTAAATGTTTTTGCAGTCTATATTTTCTAATGAAAAGAGCATTTTAAACTAATTATCTAAACATTTTACAGCCTATATTTTCTAATGAAAAGGGCTTTTTTAAAACTCTCAATTGCATCCAAATGAAATTAAACTTTTCAACTATCTTTATCTAAACAAAAAAAAAGTTCAATGCCTATTTTTATTCATTGAACTTTATCCAACTTATATATGATTTTTTTGAGAACTAAGTACACACTTTTGTAATTTATGTATCTAAAATGGGTATAGTAAAGGAAATGCTCAACTTTTATTTTTATCCATTAACTTTCATCCCTGAATTGTTTTTTCAAAACTAACTACATACTTTTGTAATTTATTTATCTAAAAATGAGTGTAGTACAGTCAACTTTTTTGATGATATTAGTCCTTATTTTTCTTAACCGATAATTCAAGTATGAATTGAGAAATAGTTTTGATAAGTATATAATATAATAGGGCCATTAATACAATTGTGGTGTTAAAGATGTATTATTTTTAATATTTATTGGTTAAATTATCATTAAAAGTGCTAATTATTTTCTAAAATAAAAAATGAGAACTTCTACTAGGACAACTAAAAAATGAAATTGAGAACCTTTTAATTGAGACAGTGGGAGTAATAGCTCTCAAAGTCTAATAAAAAACGTAAGTCTACTACTATGATTACCACCACATTCAATAGCCGATTTAGGCGCATTGCCTCAAAATGAAGATGTTAAGGATTTTGTCTCAAAACTAAATTTATTTGCCGGTTGATTTTTACAAATAAATAATGTCATTTAGGTTTTGCTTAAGATTTATATAAGTTACTTTTTATGCCTTTTTGAAAGACGTTCATATCCACATATCACCCTTGATGTCCAAAAATGTTACGTATACCGTATACGTATATCGTATACACAGTACAAGGACTGAGTCTTATGACTATTGAATCGGATATCAAAATCTTTTTTCATAACCCGTTCTCTTTTGATTTCATGGAGCAAATGCAGCACCGTTATATAATTTTCTTACATTCTATGTAGTATATATAATAAAATTAAAAAAATAAAACATCTTCTACCCGGGTATAAAATAAGACTACATATTTTAAAATTTGCTAAATACACATTTGTCTTAATGCTATCTCAAATTTGTGTTCACCTTTCTAATTAAGGATATTTTGAATTGGAATCAATTTTTTGATCTGATCTATGAAAGTAAAAGTTGTTTTTTTTTTACTTTAGTGTATATATTATATATTAACAAAAATAAGCTAGGTTGTGTATAAAGGATAATTCTTTTACTCATGGATGTAACTTTAATGTAGTATGATTTGGTCATAAAATTGAGATCATTTTTCATTTCTAAATGTGTGGCATCTTTATTTTTTATTTTTTATTGCATAGTTTTACCCGCTTATATATGTTTCGGTTATTTCCTACCACTTGAGGTAAAAATATTTTTATAGATTTAATTCAACTGACCTTCTAAGTAAAAATTGCCTAGTAAGAGTCTAAATCACTTGCAACCTTTCTTCATTCAATAACATTCATTTTAAATCAATCTAATGAAAATTAAATCGACCGCCACCAATCGCGTTATGCAGTCAGCCTGTTGTTGCCGCCATTACATTTATTAAAACCAGAATGTCACAAAACTATATACTCTAATCTTTTTTTCTTAAAGAAGGAGATAGAAGGACTAATTTGCTCAATTCGAAATTCAAGAAGAGTTAATATCTTCAAAAAAATGACAACCCATTATAAATAAAAAAAAATAAAAAATGTGTAGTTATTAGTTTTGAAAAAACAGTAAGCTATAGATAAAATCTAATGGATAAAAATAGGCATGGAACAATTCTTTTTTTTGTTTAGATAAAGATAGTTGAAAAGACAAAATTCAACAAAAGTTATAAAATAAAATTGGCTCTTTTAATCAAATAATATATACTGACAACATTATTAACTAATGTTAATAATGTTTAGTTAAAAACAGACATGCTTAATAAATAGGAATAAACATTATTTACTAATGTTATAATCAACTAAAAATTGACTTTGCTCTCGGTTGGTTCTAATAACTCATACATATGACAGTGCACGCGCGCACCAATAAAATGAAATCGTGTTTTACCGTGCACGGTGCGGGTAAAGATATACTCCCTCCGTCCCAATTTGTTTTGCAAAGTCAATATTTTTTGGTCAACCAATAATAAAAGTCAACTATCCCTACGCATAATTAATTCAATTTTTAATAATTAAAATTTACATATTCAAAAACTACATTAAAATCTCTTCAATGTTGTAAACTCCAAATTAGAAAATAATTAAAAATCGACATCCTAATTAAGTGAACAAAACGAGACTGTTTGACTAAGAAAAGTTAAATTTGTAACTCTTTTTGGGACGTAGGTAGTATATGAAAAAATTAGGATTTAAAATTATACTTGAGCATGTGTAATCCTCACCGATTGCCAAATTGTAATATAGACAAACTCACATGCACGTAAGAACAGTCGAATTCTCTGGAGAACTCGCAATGAGTGAATGCATGAAATTGCTAATAATGGAGATTGATGTCAGGCTGCATGCATGCATGCATGAAGTGCTTACTATACGCGGCGAGCATGCTTTCAACCATCCACCACGTATCCTTAACACTGGACACCTGTCCCCATCCATGCATCTCCAAACCCCCTATATATACACCTCCTCCCATCCCTCCTTCATCATCAAAAATCAAGCATCAAAAAACATACAACTCAACAAAGCCATGGCAAGCAAAACAGCAGTTCTCATAGCGTTCGCCGCCTTCCTCGTGTCCGCCTTCGCCGCCCTGGGAACGGCGGCGAGGGACCCGGAGCTGGAGATATGCCGCCAAAGATGCAGAATCCAGACGGTGGTTGACCCGTCACAGAAACAGTCCTGTTACAGCAAGTGCCTCACCTACAGCCGGGAAAGAGAAGAGCGGCGGGAGAGAGAGGAAGGGCAGGGGCAGGAGGAGCGAGGGGAGGACAGTCCTTTCGTGTTCCGGCCACGTCACTTCCTGACCGCCCATTCCTCTGACCGGGGCAGGCTTTCGATTCTTCAGAGGTTTTCGGAGCGGTCAAACCTTTTCCAGAACATCGAGCCTTTCCGCCTCGGAGTTCTCGAGGTGGAACCCAAAACCTTTGCTCTCCCGAACCACATCGATGCTGACTTGATTTGCTTCATTGCTAATGGTACACTTAAAACTCTCCTTCCTTGCTCCTTTAATTTAAGATGATTTTTTTTTTTGGAAGGAAATTTAAGATCATAAAACACTCAATTTTATTGCCATGATCAAATATGAGTATTAAAAGATAAAGAAAATTCTCGAAATGGGAGTATATAAAAGGCAGATAATTTCTTAAACCGGATTAATACAAAGACCAGATTTATGAACAAAATTATGAGTGTTTTATTCCCAACAAAATTATGATTGTTTTATTCCCAAAATAGTACTTCATTTTTGGACAACTTAATCACTTTATTTTTCAATTGACTAAATAAAATATAATCCCATCTTTACACAATTAAAGTTCCGGTTTGACTTTACGTCTAATAGGCCCAGTTTGACTTTATGGTCTAATAGGTCAACATTTGACCATAATCATCTATGAAAGTATAAATATATACATATATAATCTAGATATAATAAATGACATTTGAATAGTAATATACTTAAATATGATAATAATGATAATACTAATCTTTAGGAAGGTTTATAGTCAAGTACTTTTCATTCTTTTAATATGACCAAATAAATCATATTTTAAGAAGAAAAATAATCTTATTTATAATTTGTTCATTTTTTTTATTCTTACAATGAGCATTTTCTTTAGGGTTTTTTACGAGAATATTACTAAAATAAAACTTATTTACATAAATATGACTATTCATTACTACAACGTAGTGTTGTGGTAACTAAAGTTCAAAACTTGAACATGAATTACTATGATTTCATTACTACTCTAGTAATGAATCATATTTTTGTAAACCATCTATATTTTGGTCATGTTTATGTAATTATTTCTTTTCTTTAGCACTTACATAGGTCGATCTAATAGCTAGATTAAAAGAAATGGAGTGCTATTTAGAAATGGACAAAATATGTACTCTGTATTATATTTTTTTCTCATTAAATATGTTTGCAATGTAGGGAAGGGAATCCTGAATATCATTCAGGAGAACAAGAGGAGAATCTTCAATGTCACTGAAGGCGAGTTGGTGGTCATCCCCGCCGGAGCAACCACTTACCTAATCAACCCCGACAGTGACAGAAAGCTGGTCGTAGTTAAGCTCATCCGAACAATTTCCTCCCCCGGCCGTTTTGAGGTAATTAATGAAATAGCGTTTATTTTAAGGTTTCTTTTGTACCATTAAAAAAAGAAAAAATCAAATCTTGTGTGAAGTTTTTTAACAAAGATTATTATTGTCATTTTTGTAGTACTTCTTCGGGTCAATGTTTTTGAACGCATTTAGCTCGAGCATAAGGGAAGCGGCTTATAACGATGCCAACAAGGAGACATTGGACAGAGTCCTAATGAGGGGTCAAGATCAGGACCCTTTCTTGGAAATATCTGACCAACAACTTAGGTCAATTGTCCGACAGGAAGAACAGGACGATGTTATTGGGTGGCCATTCTTAGCTGCTGCTGACAAGTCTTCCAAGAGAAAAACCGTCAATATCTTCCAACACAAAACCATTTCCAACAAATATGGTGAACTCTATGAAGTCGGCAATGATGAATTGGATAACATCCAAATCTCCTTCGCGAACATCACTGAAGTAAGTTTCCTTAGCTCAGTATCCCTACTTCTTAGGGCAATTACTTTGATAATTCTGTTAACAGAGCTAGCTTCATGGATATGTATGTAGGGTGGAATGTTTGGACCTCTCTTCAACACAAGAGGAGTGAAGCTAATGTTTGTGGTGGAAGGAGAAGGATCGATGGAAATGGCGGTAGCGTCCTCCAAGCCAGACAGCGGCTCATCCGAGAAAGGCAGCACCGGCACCACCCCGAGCTTCGAGAGAATAAGCGCCAGACTGTTCCCGGGAACCGTGATCGTGAACCCGGCCGGGCACCCGTACGTGAACGTGGCGGAGCGGAGGAGCCTGAAGCTCCTCTGCTTCCACATCAACGCCCGGAACAACGAGAAGGTGCCGCTCGCCGGGAAGAACAACGTGTTCATGAAGTTCGACAGGATCGCGGAGGACATCGCCTTCGGTGGCAGCCGGAAGGACGTGGAACAGGTGTTCGGAAGCAACAGTGATAATGAGCTGTTCTTCAAGGGGCCGAAGGAGGAGCGTCGTGCGGTTGAGTAAGAAATGAGAGATATTGCACGTGTCTTTTGCATGAATGAATGGATGCATGATGCATGCATGTGTCTTGTATGAATAGTCTAGTGGTTTGGCTGGCCTGCCTTGTATGCATAAGCCAGTTTTTATGTTTAAATTCAAATGAATAAGCAGAGATGTAAATGATTTCGGGGAGGACGTTTTGCATAAACAATAAATTATGGTTTTTCCCTTTTAATTATGGCCCTTTTTGTTACTTCTCATTCGAACATGTTTGCGTACGAAGTTTTAATTAATCCTTGAAAAGATAATTAGTATAGTATTCGGTTTGCAAATGAAAATGGGTCATATTTTAAGGGGAGTGGAATTGAAGATGTGGTTTACTATAATTAGTAATAGTATTCGGTTTGGTTAAAATGGGTTAGCAAATGAAAATGGGCCATTATATTGAAAATGAAAATGGGCTATATATATAAGACTTCCTCTAGTTACAGCCCGATCCGATCCAGTAAAGGTAAGCCCAGCTCCTCTTTTAGAATGGGCTTGATCTTGTACCACATACTAGTATAAACGTGGAGCAGAGTTTAGTACTTCCCGATCCGCTAGCAAGTACTCCCTCCGTCTCTTATAACTTTGTCAACTTTCCATTTTTGGATGTCCCAATAACTTTGCCACTTTCCCATTTAAGTATCCCTTATAATTTTGTCAACTTTCCATTTTTGGATGTCCCAATAACTTTGCCACTTTCCCATTTAAGTAAAGAATTTGTGGTTCCAGTTAATTCTCTCTCCTCTGCACAAATCTCAATCACATAGTTTTTACTTTATTAATTCCCGTGCCGGTCAAACTTGGCAAAATTATTAGGGACGGAGGGAGTAGTACTTTGCTAAATGAAGCCATGTATAATTTCCGTAAAAAAGAAAACTTTTATAATTCCTATAGTACTATACCCTTCCAATTAAATAAACCCAATCGGCATCTAATCCAGTGAGATTTTTGAAGACCCGTCCAGTGAGATTTTTGAAGACCCGTGTTTCTTCCTTTAGATGAATGATCGGCTATATGTTGCACCAGTTGTTATACCGTATGACCGGTATACGGTGAGCACCGTATACCGGCATACGGTCTTAGTAATAATAAACTAAGATTTTTTAGCCTAAAGTTCTCGGTTGACTTGGATCGAAGTTTAAGAAAGTAGTAATAAATTGGAAGTGTATGATTGTGGTTCAGTAAAAAAAAAGGTAAATACATGTTAGCCACACAAAACTTTCGAAAACGGGAAATGGAAAAAACTCTTTGGGACGAGCCAAAAAGAAAAGTAAGAACTATGTTGCGGGTGTGAAATAATGGGAAGAGGTACTCCAATAGGAGTCCTGACAGATATATTTATAGTAGAAGAGTTGCCAAAATACAAAGTATTCCTAAATAGATATTAGGCAGATTCCTAAATATCTATTAAGTAGATTCCTAATTATATTAGTCTATTACACCTCCTCAAACTGTGCGGGAGATACAACGCGCAGGTTGTCTTTTAAAAAAAAAAATGAAATTGCAAACTAAAAAAAACTTCTTAGTAAATATATCCGCCAGCGAAAGATTAGAAGGCACATCTTTGACAATAAGATCTTCATGAGAATAGATGTCTGCAGCAGCAAGCGGCGAACTCAACAGCGCGCTTGAAGCAAGCACCGTGGTCAGCGACGCAGAGAAGGTGGGCTGCGCGGACATAGGCAGCAGCAGGCGGCGAACTCAACGGCCCGCTGGAAGCAAACACCGTGTTCAGCGACGCGAAGTAGGGGATTTGCGCCATATTAGCCGCGCTCATCTTCAAAGGATCGAAGACTACCGTAAATGTGGCGGCAGTCGACCCCGAGGCGGCGGCGGCTGTAATAAGGTTCATGGGAACCGAAAAAAAAAAGAGAGAGAAAAAAAAAATGTGTCTAAAAACCTAAGCTCTTGATACCATGTGAAATAATGGGAAGAGGTACTCCAATAAGAGTCCTGACAGATATATTTATAGTAGAAGAGTTGCCAAAATACAAAGTATTCCTAAATAGATATTAGGCAGATTCCTAAATATCTATTAAGTAGATTCCTAATTATATTAGTCTATTAGCGGGATGGAGGGAGTAATACACTTTATAAGACTTTGAGTTAGTCCTCATATCAGGTTAACCTTTTAGAATGAACTCCGAATCTTAACATAGAGAGTTATGAACTAATGAGATAAAATAGGTGACGTGTATATTATTAAAATGATTCGGCAAATTATACCGTGGGATCGGCACACCATGCACATGGTGTACCGATCCCAATACGACACCGTTTCTTTAATTAAAAACAACGCACGCAATATCTTCTCCTTTGAACAGATTTTAATTTATTCTTATGCGAATCGTAACTGCATTTTTGTTCTCTAGCACCCTTCTCACGGACTACTTCTTCCCTCAGTTTTTTTTTTCTCCGCACATTTTTTATCCGAACTGAAAGTTCGTATGTTGAAATGAAGTAGTCGTGCTTCCAGTAACTTTGCCTTCTCTGCTTCCCTTTCGTTCTTCTAGTTGCCAAGCTTTTTGATATGATCCTCTTTCCTCTCTTTTAGTTCTTTTCTTTTTCAATTATCTTCATATCACTATTAAAATATTAAAAATGTGATTACAATTTCTTTTTTTCTATAATATTTTTCTGTAAAATAATTTCTTATCTCTTTTATATGTGTTTAGTTTTTTTTTAAGACATTGTCACATTGAGTTTGTTTATTTCCATTTATACTTAATAAAGCAGGTGCTAATATTTTCATTTGTGTGCGATTTACATTTTCACATATGCAACTTACATTCACACATGATTCCTGAAGTTCTATTTGATACTACATGGGGTTACATTTTCTTATGCGCGAGGCACATATTTGTATGCGCAAGTTACATGTAATTATGCGTGAGTTACATCTAATTATTTGTCATTTTTTACTTATTTTTATTTTTTAATAGTTAAATTATAATTGAATTAACTTTTTTTCCTTACCAATTTATTACAAAGTTTTATAAATCCACATAAAATAAGTGTATTGTATTTCATAATCATACACTATTCTTTACTTTGCGTACTTTTTTTTTACATTTATACACTTCTTTTGTAAAATATTTTTGATGTTCATACACTTTTTCCTATTATATATTTCTTACCTCCTTGATTTTTTTGTGTGTTTTAAAGACATTAAAATTGTTTATTTCGATTTAAATTTGAAAAAAAACATGAAATTACATTTTTTATATGTGTGAGTTAAGTTTATAGACAATTTTTATAGTTAAATTTGATATTGTATGGAGTTGCATCTTCTTATGCCCGAGTTATATCTTTTTTGTGTGTGAGTTACATCTTTCAATGCACGAGTTACATTTGAGCTTGTTTCAACAAGTTACATTTTGCATACATCTAGATTAGATTTTTCATCAACGTGAATTACACTTTTCATAGCACGAATTCTATCACAACATACAACCTACTATTGAAACAAAACAATCATTGTTATATTGCAAAAAATAAATCCAAAAAATTGATTTTTTTGGCCAAAAAGTGAATTTTTAAAAACATTTTTATAGCCTTAATATTAAAAAGAAAAATATATTCACTATTTAAGTTAACCTCTGCAATTTAAACAAAAACAATCACATTTTTTCAAAATCAAAATGATTTTTTTGGCGAAACAATGATTCTTGGCAAAAAAAAAAAGATAAAAAACATTTTTGCAACCTTAATAATATAAACAAAACAGATTAACAATTTATGTAAAGTAATTGAGCAATTAGACTCCTTTTTTCATTAAAATCAATGTTTTATTTCTTATCATTCGTATTAGACAAGTTACATTTCAACTTGTCTGCAGTTACATTTCTTATCAACGTGACTTACATTTATTTACACGCGAGTTACACAATTCTTCTACTGGGACAATGAATGAAACAAAAAAAAAGTTATTGTTCACGTGTGTGAACAGTAACATGCCTTTTTTCTATGGGAGCAGCATGCTCACCATG